CCCCAAAACCCCAAAACCCCAAAACCCCAAAACCCCAAAACCCCTTTAAAAATATTTCAGAATGAAAATTATTCACGATTCTGCTTTAATAATGCTTCTTAAATATCCTCAAAAATACAAGGAGCAGTATAGCTCCCACAATAGTGAAGGCGACGCTATAAAGAACTCAGCGGTTCCGTGATTCGTTCTTCTTTATGATATCTAGTAGCCTATCTGAGACTGTCATTTCTCCATCTACTTTGCCTAAATTTTGTCTAATTTTCTGCATTTTATCAGTGTCTTTGGCTAGATTGAACTTAGTGTCCTTTGCAATCACCTATAAATCAAAACCAGAAAGTCTACCTCAGCCTCATGGCCAACCCTGATAGCCTGATTTAGCTTATTCTGCTGATCTGAAAGCGGTGCATTTTCATTAAGCAACCTTTGGTCTTGAAAAGACTCGTTATCAGCTGGCTGGTCCCAATTAGGACCAAAAAGGTTCTCTTTATTCTTGATGAACCCATAATCAACCTGTGCTTTATTCACTTCTCTCCTCATTTCTTCAACTTGGTTGGCATATTCGTTTAGTCTCTGCTGGAATTTGAACCGCTCTTTAGCTGAGAGCTCACTGATTGATAGATTAAACTGCTCATATGAGGCTTTTGCTTCTTTACTATAGAATTGCATATCTTTGAAAGCCTGCTCTAGCTTTTTGTCGCTTGAAACTTGCATTTCTGCTTTTGCCTTCTAAATGCACAGTTTTAGTATAAATTTTAAGAAATCTTAGAAAATCTGCTTTAATGGGAATAGAACTGTTTTCAACTTCAGGGGAGCCATGTTGTAGGTATATTAACAGACTTTAACGATAGAAGGTATACTTTAGTATGATAGACTTCTTGCTCATTTCCTTGAAAATTGATTAAACAAATACTAAAACTCAAACCAGCTTATCAGAGCTTTGCAAATAAATTAATTTGAAATATACCTTATACTTCTTAGCATTATCGACATACTCTTCTTCGTACATGGCTAACTCCTCCATTTGAAATTTCTAATTAATTTTATTAGATTTAAACTGTGAAGGGGTTTTGGGGTTTTGGGGTTTTGGGGTTTTGGGGTTTTGGGGTTTTGGGG